AAAATAATTTGGCTGTGTAATAAGAACAATGAACGTAACTCAAGGTTTACTACATAGCTTGTCAAGCAGATTTGTTGTATTTAAGGACGTTTAGATATTTTCAGTCTAAACATGACAATGATGCTGATTAATAAAAATGTTTTTAGCAGTATTCTCATTTCATGTTCCCATAATTTGAAAATATCATGTTTCTGGATGGCAATATGCATATGGAAATTGTATACGGATAAGTTTATGCATATGATGAAGAGCTCTTATTCCAGGGAGGGAACTGGGTATGTTGTGACGTACATGATGTTTTCAGTAATTTTTTGCTTACATGGGCTTTAAAGATTAAATGTATGTAAATTTTATATGTGAGGTTCCTGGTCTGTTCAAAATCTCAGCCATGAATGGACTATAGTGGAGAACTGTATTGAAGATCTCTTTATGTGCACATATATTATGGAGAGTGATACCAGTCAATGTGTTTATTTTGTGATACTTGGGTGAAGCTTGACACTTTACAAGCAGTTGTTACAAGGTTAAGTGTATGGCAATATATCAAGGTTGTGTTGAAGTAATGCAGGCGTGTGTACATGAGGGTGTTAAAATGTATGGGTGTAATGGAGTCTGAAACATGTTGGGAATGTCATACCACCATACTGCTCATACTATTTCTGCAGTATATAGTATGTATACAATACACACTATGCAAATTTTCTGTATTGCACAGAATGCAAATATTCTGCATGCATGAAATACCTGGATGACCTACAGTACTTGGCAAAATCATCAGTATACAACAGAGCACAGCATATTATAGAACAGTAAGCCATACTATTTTCTTCTTAAAGAATACTAGGGAATGCAATAGTGTGCTAGTACTTAATTGCCTTATTGACTTGACTTGTTTTGTGCAGACCACATGGTCAGTCTGGTCCAAACGCCCTACAGACCACAATGCATCCAGATGGCCTGTGTTTGTCAGTTTGTTTAGCGCCCTGAGAGACCACAGGAAATACTGCATCTCTAGTCAAACCAATCAAACGCAGAAGACCTGAACTGGGCTTTTTGTTTTTCGATGCACTGAAAGGGAGAAATTCCTGCCAAGCAAACAGTCTTACACCAGATGTGAGAAACCGCTTTCTGTTTAGACGTGACACCTCCACGCACAACAACATCTGGCCATAAGCTGCCATCGTTGTTTGTTTGCTCTGTTCCCTCTTGGTGTTTGGCCTGCAGTACTTGGCTCCGTTTGAGACAATGAAGGATTGAAACACAGCAATTTTTTTCCAATGATCTGTGGCTTCATTTATCACAATAAAGTGGTCAACTTTGGCCCATGCTTTGATTCACATTCTGTTGCTGAAGGCTGGAATACAACTTTTGGCCATATTTACAGTCAGGAACTGGTTGCAAAAAAATCAAAGTCAGTCTCTAAATATTGGGCAGAGAGAGTTGACAGATTTTACAGTCTTTTAAGGTTCTTCACACTAAGACTTTTAAGAACTATTCACTGAAAGTTTCTTTGAGGAACCAAAAATGGTTCTTCTGTGGCATCACTGAAAAAAAAAACCTGTAAAAAAAAAAATTGTGAATATTCATGCAAGTTTGCATATGCCGTTTGTTCAGTGCAGCAGTGGCATAGTCCCACTGGCGGGCATATTGCTGTGATACAAATGTCACACGTCTTCTTAGTGAGCTGTTGACTGGCATTATCATGGCGTTGGCACTGCGGGGTTGTTTTTCTGTGGCATGTCAAAGAGATTCTGGGTCACCAGCAGGACAAGCTTGTTGTCAGAATGGTCAAAATATCATATTTCACTTTCAGATGACAGACAGTGTGTTGCTGAGATGTTTGGAGAGAACTGAAGGATTAAAATGAAAAATAAGGATGTGATTTTATTGTCTGTACGATGCAGTTGCGTGCAGAGAGAAGAATCAGAGACCACACATGGGAGCAATCATATGCTTGGCCAAAACTCTTTATGGTTTAAGTTAGTGTTCACAAAAATACACAATGTTTGTAATACTTAGGAGGTGAAAGTAAAGAGTGGCATTAAAATAGAACCCACAAAGCTTTTAAAAATCCCTAAATTAAATAAATAGACATCTGACAGACATTAATGCAGGTGCAATACACACCCCTAGGAACAAACAGTAGCACTGTTAGAAATAAGACTGAAGAAAGGTGCATCTTTTATTTTTACATTACATATACCAAATGATCAGAGAACAAAATATAGAAAAATATATATAGTATTTTAGAAGATATTTAATTACTTCTCTAAATGTATAGACAATGTATTTATCTTGTTGCTTTTTAAACCATTTAGTCCATTTATTGTACTTTAATAACATGTTTTATTTCATTCTTCTTTGCTATATAAGCACTAAAGTGCTTTCTATTGCAAAAACAAAGGCAAAACAGAAAGCCCTTTTGAATTACCCTGTTTATGCATGTATGTTTTATAAGAACTGTTTGAATGAAGAGGCCTGGTTTGAATAAAATGAGTTTCCATCCCAATGTCATAGTCCATAGTCAAAACGCTGCAGCTGTACATGATTCAGCAAGATCTACTGCATCTCCAGCATCACAAGCCATGAACTGTTTTCATTATTTGCACATTAACCAACATTACAATCAATCATCACTCTGTGAATAAAGTAAAAATCCCCCAACATAGCGTATAGCGAGAGGTGGGAATGCCACCAGGGAGCTTAGGAAGCAAAATCCAGCTAATAAATGACTAAAGGGAATATCGCTAAACTGAATTTAAAACAATAATTGCATCCGTCAAGCCGATTATGCTTTGACTGACATGGTGCTGAAGAAAATTACTCCTCTGTGTGAGCTTGTTAATACTTGTATTTTTTTTGTTTGTTTTTTTTCAAAACCTTTTGTGGTGACATATTTGTGGGCAGGAGCGAGCTGTTGTTGTGATGTTAAAAGCTCTCAAGCTGAGACAGAGATGCTGATGGTTTATGTTACCTGAATTTCAACAGTGCTGTCTGCAGCTTACGGTGCGAGTCTTTTGCTTTCACATCAATCCACAGGCAGTATTACTCTCTTCACATTGTGAAGTGCAGCAATAGTTTTTCTGAAATGTTGAACTCCTACGCTTCTTTCAAAGTAGACAGAGTAATTTCACTGGGGTGATATTTCAGTTTGAATGATATTTCTCAAATGAGCTTGACTGTAATGGGCTTTATGTGGGCTGACTTCATTATGTTACAGGAAAGTGAACGAGAGAGTGAGTGGGTGGGTATATAGGACTCCAGTCTAAACTGAATAGGATGAGATTTGTTTTATTGGTTGTATAAAAACTCATAGCCACCTAAAAAAAATTGTTCACTCAAAAAATTAAAATTTGCTGAAAAGTTTAGACATCCTCAGTTTTTCTTCATCAACTTCATCAGAAATGTAGCATTACATCACTTGCTCACCAATGGATCCTATGAAGTGAATGGGTGCCGTCAGAATGAGAGTTCAAACAGCTGATAAAAACATCATAATAATCAAATTCATCATTAAGATGTTTTTAACTTCAAACTATTGCTTCTGTCTTAATATGTGTCCTCTGTTCATAATATTGCTTTCTCCAATGAAAAAGCCACCTAATCTTAGTACCATGCAACTGTTTAAGCATGGAAGAAAAGTGGTTATACGTCAGCTTAGAGAGCCTGTGAAGTTGATTATATTAATAATGTATTTAAATGTCAAAGTTATCTATATAAAAATATCCTTCACAGAGCAGCTGTCTGAAGTAATAATTCACACCTTTGTCAAGTATTGTTAATAACAAAACCATTTCTCAAATCACAAACCTGTATTTTGAATAATCTTTTAAAACCTATTGGTATTGTGGTATAAGAATTAAGGGCCAGGACATGGTGCCATTAAACTGAGAGTATTCCTACAAATATATCAGTGGAACCACAGATTCCACACCCTGTCATTTTCCAGGAATAGATGGACGGGTAGTGAAATTACAGCTTTTGAAAGGGTGGAAATTTATGCACTGTCAGTTTAGAACTGGGAGCGACAGTAAGGGTTTTATCGGTTGTGTGTGTCAGAATGATGTTCATATTAGTAACGTTGTTACTCATCGCCCTCTCTAGATGTTAAGATGAGAGTGAAGTTGGTACAACTATTTGTGTTAAGTTTAAATGCTTTTGTTTATGTGGTTATGCTGTACTTTACAGTACATTTTGCAGCGTACTGTAATTGCATGAGTAAGTAGCAAGTAATTTTAATGAACAACATGAGCTTAATATGTAATTATTGGCTGCTTGTAATTGCACAGTTCTTATTACAGCACTTGAAAGGAGAACCCACTTAACCTAGAATGCTGGCCACATTTGACCTCATAATGCATATTTAAATTTTTATTACAACAAAATCTGTATATATATATATATATATATATATATATATATATA